ATTTACATTTTGAATTGTAATATGCAACTTAACTTCTCTTAACCTGATTTTATTATTTCTAATACTATCCAAGTATTTTCTGATCCTTGGCTTTAATGGGAATTGTCTTAAGAGGAAGGTCCTGTTCCTTAATATGAAGCTGTGTATGCAGCTACACTGCAGAAAAACAGAGAAACTTGATACTCAAGTCCTTTACTTTTTCAAAAATAATTTTAGACTTAGCCAAACTTGATACAATGTGTGCTATTTGAAATGATCATTCATCTTACCTCTGTGACCAATGAAATATGTTATAGCCATGAAAAATTTGGAGTTATTCAATAATCCTGAAAACAGTTTGAGTTAATGGCATCCTAATGCTTGAAGAATGTGAAAACTAAAATTACTTTTTCATTTGTAGAATAATACCCACAACAAAAATACTTCAAGTAGAATTTGAATTCTGGTGGAAACATTTCCCAAAGTAATAACACATTTTCACTAGACAAAGAACTGGGGGCTAGAGAGATGGTTCTGTGGTTAAGAGCACTGGCTGCTCTTGCAGAGAATCCAGGTTCAATTCCCAGCACCCACATGGCGGCTAACAACTGTCCCTAACTCCAGTTCCAGAGGATCTGACACCCTCTTCTGACCTCTGAGGGCACTGCATGGCACAGATGCACTTACGTACATGTAGGCTATACACTCATACACATAAAATAAAAATAATAAAATATTTTTTTAAAAAAAGAACTGTCAGTAGGATTATATTGAAACGGCTGGAGGAAAATGTCACACAGGAAGATTCAAACCCCACCAAATATACTCAGTCAAATCACAGTAGAAAGCAAGCTTGTTATAGGGAAAGAACTGAGACTTGAATTTAAGCTAGAAGCCCAGGGATACTGCAACTTAAATCCAGAAGAGATATAATTTAATGCAGCATGCTTTCCTGCAGAGCCCTCATCCCAGATGTGTTAAGTGCAGTTATTTTATCAATTTCTCCAGTGCCACAGATACTGTAAAACTCAGGTGTGAGGAAAACATGACTGTCTGGGTCCTCAGGAACCATACTCGAGTGAGACTCTTAGATGTGTACACATAATTATGTCTATAACCTGCTCCATGGATACAATGAATAGAGCAACTATCTGCAAGACGAATGAAAAGATCTGCCTAGAAACCTGATGGGTTTGACTCTGGGACCATGTTGGGTTTTGTCTGTACCACCCCTCTACCCCTGCATGAAGTGTAACACTGCATCTTGAGACTTTAGACAGGAATGGAGATGGGAACTGAGATAAGGTGCTTGAAGGAAGATAAAGACTCTCGTCTCTGTTGCTGGCCTCCAGTTGGGCTTCAGGATGAACCAGCTTTGTATATGAACAGACAGCAGCTCCAGGATGTGCTCATGAAGCCTGAGAAATGAATCTCTCAGTCACTGTGTGATGAATATGGCATTACTAAACTCACTCATTTTGATGGCACACGGATGCTCATCCCCAACATGGAGACAATTCTAAATAGGATTGATCCTAATGGTGAAGAGTATAATCAAACCTGTGTCTGAGCATGTGTATACGCTGTTGCGAGCTAGAATTCTCTTCAGGCTTCTGAAATAAAGTACATTAGGAGCACTCACTGGGAGAGCCTGGCAAAGAGCTGTCCAAGCACAGGACTTCAAAAACACAGAGGAGAAAATCTAAACCCATGGTCGTGGCTGCAGGGCACAGACCATTATACTGTGTGGTGGAGACTTTGTTGTTTCCCTCTGACCCTCTTCAAGGCTGTCTGGTTTCCTGCCATGCCACCCACTAGATTTCTACCCCTTAGAGAAATCATTTAGCCCTCTGCCTTTGCATTCATTTTAAACAACTGCCCCCCTCCCCCTGCAGAGATTTACCATGAAAGAAGGAAATATGTTAAGGTGATTTGGTGGTTAGTATTCTTCAAATTATTTGACAACACATGTTAGAATTGTTCGTATCAGATTTTTCTCACACATGAGGCCTGTGATTTATACAGAGGGATTTCATTTCCCTCTCTCAGTTCTGTGTCTGCCTCAAGAGCAGTGGAGTGGTTTTCCTTATGTATCCTTCCACAGTTCTGCTAGATGATGATCAGAGGGAAGCTGCAGAGTGCTGGAAACACAGAAGCAACCTGCAAGACACTGTTTCCAGGAGAGAGCACACCAAGAATTTTCAGGAGTTATATGTAAGGTCTTGTTTTGCTTTCATCCATTTAATTACTTCCATGACATAGAAATCTTTTTTTGTTTGTTTGTTTATTTTTGTTTGTTTGTTTTTTGAAACAAGGTCTCACTATGTAGCCCTGGCTGACCTGGAAATCAGCCAGGCTGGCCCAGGACTCACAGAGATTTGCTAGCCTCTGCCTCCCAAGTGCTGGGATTATAGGCCTGTGCTGCCACACCCAGCAACAAAGAAGCCTTAAAAACCCTGCACTTAAACTCTACCCTTCTACCTCACCCTCCTGAGTGCTGGGAGTACGGGCACATGACAGTGAATTTTGGGTGTTTTTTGTTGTTGTTGGTTTTGTTTATAGGAAATCTTTTTTCCCCCATTTCTGACATCAGTGATGTAACCAGATGAACACTTGCTTTGCCTTTCCATCTGGCACAGGTGCTGTGCTACCTTCAGGAAAAGAATTACAGTAACATTCAACTTTTAGGGTCCTGGAATCTGCTGTGGAACAAATGTAAGGTCTACATAGGCATCAGGATGGCTGGGAGTTGACACACACTGGGAACCAGAGTGCCCAGGCGTAGCACTCAGAGTGGCTGCTGAGGAGCCACCAAGAACGCTACGTTCTCAGGGTTCAAGTCAGCCATGATCGGTGAGATTGTTCCAGTCCTTAAGTTTAATACAATGTTTTGCAAAGTAAATATATACAAATGCTTTTAGGTTTTATCTGCTTTTTCCTCTCACGTATTTTATTGCTATGTTTTAAAGCCATGTCAATGCTATAAAAACGCGAAAATGGCCAGCTGTTGGGCATATGCCTGTACTCCCAGCACCCAAGAGGGTGATGTAGGAGGATGCAGAGTTTAAGGCCAGCCTGGGCTACATAGCAATAACATGCTCAAATGAAAAAACAAAAATCATGAACTGAGTGCAGGCTGTCCTCAGCTCTGACCCTGGAACTCTTTGTATTCTAGACTGAAAATGCATATTTCTTAAGAAAAATTTTAGTGTGCTAGTTTCCAATCTCTTAAAAGCTTTTTGAATTAAGCTTAAAAAGTCTCATATGTTTGTCTCTCCACCCGCACAAAAAAAAATATAAGTAGGGGAATGTATGATTTTTCACAGCCATCGTTACTGTCCTGTTACTACAGGGTCATGGAAGTCCTGACCATTCCCTTGTTTCAATGACTTTTCCATATCAACCACACTGAGCACAGCTGATGATTCAAGAATTTTTTTGTTGTGATTAAATTATTTTGATAACAATTTTAATTTTTTCCAAAAATGTTTTCATTTGTTTTTATTTTATGTGTCTGAGAGCTTTGTCTGCATATATGTAAGTGCACCTGTGTCATGCAATGCTTGCAGAGGCCAGAAGAGGGTATTGGATCCCCTGGAACTGGAGTTAGGAATGATTGTTAGCCACCTTGGGTGCTGAACTGAATTCTGGTCCTCTGCAAGAGAAGTGAGTGCTCTTAACCGCTGAGCCATCTCTCCAGCCCCATCGATAACTATTTTAGAATAGGACTAATCTATTCTCCAATATCCTTGAGGAAAACAGAATCACACAAAATGCAACTGAAGAAATGACAGGCTATTCACTCCAGAAAGATTTTAGGCATCTAAACATAACTATTTCTTTTTTAGTTCAGAACATAGATTATTTCCAAGTAATCTCTGGGGGGTTTTAGTATAAAACAGAAGAAAACTTTGCATTTTTCTTTTCTATTGGATCAGACATTTTTTCAGGAAGAGCTGTCATTACACACCTTCAGGCTAGAGTAAATGCTTGGTAATTATTTCTTTTTTTAAAAGAATTTATTTATTTATTATTTTTATTTTATCTGTATTGAGTGTAGTGCCTGCACATAGGTAGGCTCACCAGTGTTGTGTAGTGCCCGCAGAGGTCAGAAGAGGGCATCAGATCCCCTGGAACTGGAGTTACAGACATTTGATAGCCGCCATGTGAGTGCTGGGAATTGAACCTGGGTCCTTTGCAAGAGCAGCCAGTGCTCTTAACCATTGAGCCATCTCTCCAGGCCCAGTAATTATTTTTTAAATGTATGAATGTAAAATGAAAATGCAAGAATAGTGCCCATACATAGAGTAATATAATAGATTAGCTGACTTTAGTTCTTAAAGTGAGGATAAAATTTGACTTTGATATGTATAGTGATCAAGCATTAATACACATACTGATTTAAATATATATGGATCACAAAAAGAAAAGTTGATTTTAACTGAAAAGTTTACAAGTTACAGGTACTCTCAGGAATGGTAATAACTTCTCTGTCATTCACTGTGTCCAAACCATTATTGTTGCAGTTAATGGCTATAAAAATACAGAGACAAATGTTACTAATTTATCATTTGGAAGCTCATGATTTAATAATTCTTATCAAATTATTGTCCACACTCTATAGCTGATGCTTGTTTCCAGGTGGTGACAAAGTGAAGCAGAGACAGAGCAGGAACCTTGACTGTAACCCTTTTCTTGCCTGTATATAACATGAAACCAGTGGTAAGAATTCAGTCTAATGTATTTATCTAGAAATAAAATTTTGGCAGTGAAAATACAATAGCTGAGCAATAGGGAAAGAGACTGTGGATTCAGAACAGGCATAGGGTCTGTCCCCAGCACTGAGGTGACTTTCATCATGGGAGGGGTACTATAAAAAGAGAACTGGGTCTGGTTCTCGGAGGGAGATGCACGGTGACCACGCGGGAAAGCAGCTTCCTATCTGCGGAAGCATTAGCCCCGGGGACCCTGCAGCTGTCACCGGTGCTGAGCTACTTGGAAGGCCCAGTTGGCGAACTCATAGGAGCTTGAGATCTTCAATTCCTCTGACTCTTAACGGCTGGAAGAAAAGATGGTCGAAGCAGATCGCCCAGGGAAGCTCTTCATTGGTGGGCTCAATACAGAAACAAACGAGAAAGCCCTTGAAGCAGTATTTGGCAAGTATGGACAAATAGTAGAAATATTTTGGATAAAAAATCGGGAAACCAACAAATCAAGAAGTTTTGCTTTTGTCACCTTCGAAAGCCCAGCAGATGCTAAAGATGCAGCCAGAGATATGAATGGCAAGTCCTTGGATGGAAAAGCCATCAAGGTAGAGCAGGCCACCAAACCATCCTTTGAAAGTGGTCGCCGTGGACCACCTCCACCTCCAAGAAGCAGAGGCCCTCCCAGAGGTCTTAGAGGAGGAAGTGGAGGAGCTAGGGGACCCCCTTCGCATGGAGATACATGGATGATGGTGGCTATTTCATGAACATGAGTTCTTCCAGGGGGCCACTTCCAATAAAAAGGGGACCACCACCACAAAGCGGGAGGGTCCTCCTCCTAAAAGATCGACACCTTCAGGACCAGTTCGCAGCAGCAGTGGGATGGGTGGAAGAGCTCCTGTATCACGTAGAAGAGATAGTTACAGAGGCCCACCACGAAAGGAGACCCCGCCTTCTCGTAGAGATGTTTATTTATCCCGAAGAGATGATGGCTATTTGACAAAAGACAGCTATTCCAGCAGAGATTACCCAAGCTCTCGCTATACCAGAGATTATGCCACCACCAAGAGATTATGTTTACCGTGATTACAGCCATTCCAGTTAACGTGATGACTATCCATCCAGAGGCTATGGTGATAGAGATGGCTATGGTTGGTATCATGACCATTCAGATCATCCAAGCGGAGGTTCCTACAGAGATTCATATGAGAGTTACAGTAATTCACTTACTGCTCCACCCACACGAGGGCCACTGCCACTTTACCGTGGAAGCAGTCGCTATGATGATTGCAGCAGCTGACGGGATGGATATGGCGGAAGTCGAGAAAGTTACTCCAGCAGCCTAAGTGATCTCTACTCAAGTGGCCGTGATTGCACTGGCAGACAAGAACGAGGGCTTCCCCGTTCTATGGCAAGAGGGTACCCTCCTCCACGTGATACCTACAGCAGTTCAAGCCGTGGAGCGCCAAGAGGTGGTGGTTGTGGAGGAAGCCAATCTGATAGAGGGGGAGGCAGAAGCAGATACTAGAAACAAAAGATGGAAACTTCCGTCAAAACTACCCAAGGACTACTGAGAGAAAAATCGTGTTACCTTTAAAAATTTTTCTGTTTAAGTTCCCCTTCATTATTTTTGTGCTCTTGTGAGGAAAAAAGTAAAACATGTTTAATTTTGATATTACGAATTGCTTTCAACAAGCAAATGTTAAATGTGTAAGGCTTGACTTGTACTAGTGTTGTAACTTTCCAAGTAAAAGTGTCCCTAAAGGCAAAAGAGAGAGAGAGAGAGAGCGAGAGCCGGAGGCTCTAGTGTTTATAGAATGGATTTATTTCTTTGTATACCATGTATTCAGTTTTAGTAAAGTAAGAAAAGAACTGGCTATAACTTAAAAACAAAACAAACAACAACAACAATAACAACAAAAACCCCGGCTGTGTTGAGGACTATCTCCATGTCAGGCTTCATGGCCAGTTTTCATGATTGCATCAGTGAAATCCACTGGGATGGTGAATTCACAATGAATTTAGTACTTAAAGTTCTGTTCTCTACTCTACAGTGACTAAAGAATCTGTAGTAGAGCGTTTTACTACCCCTCACCTTGAGAAGCTGCTCCACAGAAATAGGAAGACAGTTTACAGAAGATAACCCCGGTAGAGTACGATTGTAAGGGAACAAGAATGCGCACCATGCATATGGTGCATAATATCTAACAACTCTGCAATAGATGTAAATAGTAAATAAGCACTTAGAGAGGGAAAGCAGCACGAATGACCCCCCCATCCTGGGAAACAAAATAACGCTAAAGGGAAATCCTTGCATGGTTCATTACTTTTCATTTCATTTTTCTTTACTATGGATTAAATTCTTGGCGTGACAGGTGGTTTTGAAAGTTATCAATTGAATTGTGTGGGGAAGGGGCTGCTGGTGATAGAGCTCAGGGATGAGCACATACCAATCACATGCTGTACCATGTAATTATACCCCCAGCCAAGTAAACTGAGTTTTCATAAATAAACTCATTTAAAACTGATTGATTTCACATTGTGCTGCCTGTGACCCAAGAATTATGGGAAACATCTCGGAACCCACCAGTAGTGCTCAGTTCATCCAACTCAGGGATACTAGGGACTCCTAGTATGAAAATATCAAAGAAGGTGTCAATATTGGAACTCTGGCTCACAATTTTATTAGAAATAAAGGTTGTGCTATAGAAAAAAAGAGTCTGAAAACCTTTTGGTACATTTTTAAATTACTGTGAACTCTTATTTTTTAAATTATTTTTATTGAGCTTTTGCATATTTCCTACAACAGTTCTTAATCCACTCTAGATCCCCTCCTCCACCTATGCCCCCACCACAGGACCTCATACATTCCAACATGCACCGTAAATCCTAGTCAGTTAAGCATTTGTACCCAGATGTCTTTTGGCACAACTTCATCCACTGGAGTCTAGTCAGTCTATCTGGAGATCTTAAGGAAGGTCTACTCTCCCTCACCTAGCAGTAATCAGTCTCCAACAGTTCCCAGGCTAGGATCTTCCAGTTATCCATTTCCCTTGTTCCACTCTGGGCTTTTATCTGATTGAGTTGCCATGGGTCTTGTGCATGACGCCACAATTGTTGCAACCATGAACCCTTTTGTAAAGCAAAAAGTCTTTTGATGATACACCCATAGTTTTCTAATTTATATGGGTGTAAGGTAATGGGTTCTCTAAGTTCAACATAATGATCATGGGGATATATGTATTCTTCCTGACAGTGTTCTTGGAGACATAACAGATAAATTCCAGTAGAATTCCAGAGCTCCTAATTCAATAAGGTATATACCAATACTTTTGCTTAAAATGGAAATGTGACCATTTTTAAAAATGAATGAAGTAGGCTGGGCTTGGTGGCGCACGCCTTTAATCCCAGCACTTTTTTTTTTTTTTTTTTGGTCTTTTTGAGCCCTGATTCTGTTATTGTTGATTGTATTCTTTAATAGGACACAGGGTGGAATGGGACCTCCACAAATTCTTATTAAGTAAATGGGAAAAGAAAACATTTTATGGGCTGGAGAGATAGCTCAGCAGTTTAGACTGACTGTTCTTGCAGGAGACCCAGGTTCGAATTTCAGCACCCACATGGCAGCTAACAACTGTCTGTAACTCCAGTTCCAGGGGATCCAACAGTCTCTTCTGTCCTCTGTGGGCATTGCACGACATGGGTGCACTTATCTACATTCAGGCAATACATGCATACACGTAAAATAAAAATAATAAAATATTTTTTTAGAAAAGAAAACATGTTCAAAAAATAAAAAGCAACCTTTGTATTTTCTTACAGTAAGGGCTTCGTACATTCTTTGTGGTCAGCTGAATATGAAGTGCATATGTATTGAAATCATTAAGCAAGAAGAGCTACCTCTTTTTTCCCTCTCTCTCTCCTGCTTCTTCTGAGTTCCACAGGACCATGGAAGGACAGGGGTTGATAATAACCTCCCAGAATGTGTCTGTCTCATTGAGGGTTTCCATCTCAGATTTCTCCTGAGATAGCCTTTTATGTTATAGGTCAAACACTAAAAGAGCAGGTGGTCAATGACCAACAGTATAGAGTTTCATGCAAAGTTTGAAGGGCTGGCATGATTCTAAAATATATTGTCTCAATTCCCCAAGGAGGACTTCACTAAGTTAGAACTGAAAAGCTAGCATAATAGATGAGGTCACTTAGGAAGCAGTATCAAGAACAAGTTCAAGACTGGGACTTCTCAAGTCAGCAGGTTGGGGAAAGAAGAAAACAGAAAACACATTGCCACGTATCAGTGTAGAGGAGAAAAATTCCCAAAGCTGAGAGTACCACAAGGGAGCATTTAGCCATGTCAAATGCTACAGCAAGGTCAAGGCCTGCTTCCTGAGCACTGCCTATTGGAGTAGCACAACGGGAGTTACTGATAAGCCCAACAGTAAACAGTATTTGTGGAATGAGGGAGGAAATGGTTATTTAAGACAGAGATAGGCAAAATAGTCCTCAAAGATCCTCAAATCTTGATTTCTTCAACCTATGAATATGTCAGGTGGTACACGGTACATGCATTAGTCTCTGACCTTATGACCTTGAAATTGAGCAGGACTAGTCTAATCATAGGAGACCCTGAAATCAGAGTGCTTTACCCCGATAGTCAGACAGTTATGCTAGGGGAAGTAGGAGAGATTCAAAGAACGAGAGAGCTCCAACCTGCCACTGTTGGCAGGGGTGGCATGGAAGTATAAGGCATGAAGTGCCCTTGAGCAAACCCCAGCTCCCAGGTGACTACACTCCCAGTGACCAAATTCAGCCCCAAAATTGACTGTGCTCAGAAGCAAATCCTTCCCAAGTCTCCGTGAACTGTTCCAAGCAATCCAATTCCCTCTTCTGGCCTCCACAGGCACTGTAGGCACATGGTGCATATGCATACACTCAAGTGAGCACACACACACACACATAAAATAAATAAATACCTTGATCCCAGACCTCAGGAGGCAAAGGCAGGGAGATCTCTGTGAGTTCCAGGCTTGCTAGGGCTACAGTGAGAATCTGCATCAAAACAACAAAACAACAAAAAATTTTCTGGACTGGATGGATGGTTCAGCTATTACGATCACTGGCTACTCTTGCAGAGGACCTGGGTTTGGTTTCCAGCACCCACATGGCAGGGCAGGTAACAACCTGTCCTAACTGCAGCTCCCGGAAATCTGCTGCCCTCTTCTGGCCTCTGTGGGCATTTCACACACAGGGCACTTAGGTACATGCAGGCAAAACACTCATACACATAAAAAATCTTTTAAAAAGTGACAGATATGTTAAAGGGGAATGAACAACAGCAATGTAAAATGAAAATATGTGCATAATAAATATGTATGAATAATGAAACCCAATACTTCATATGGTAACTTGAACACACACACACACACACATATATTCAGGTATTTAAAAAAGGCAGATACAGCATTTTAAAAAGGCTTCTGATGCATTTTAAAGAAAAAATAAAATTATGCTTAGCATTTTAAGCCAGTGTAATTCCATAAGTACTAGTCTGAGTCACTAGACTATACTATTCAAATACAACTCAGATAAAGGAGATAAGATGGTTTTTAATTAGCAAACACCTAATATCTAGTGAAAGAAAGGGGCGAAGAGGGGCACCAGACAGCAGCTGTCTCAACACATAAAGCAATGGTGTGAAGATCTGTGAAAAAGTAGTTCTAATTTGGTTTCACGTTACATGAAAATGCAGATAAATGAGGATTCTGGGGAAGTGATTCCCATCTTATCTAATTCAGTGTTCAAATTCTGGGAAAAACTAAAAATGCCAAATAATGTTGGAAACATTTAAAAAGTTTCTAAACACAAGAAGTTCGTAGATGTTTGGTTGAGGTCTCACCACTTTCCAATAAGGCTCTGCAGTCACAATGGGTACAACAATTAGACGGAGTAGAACATGCAATCTCTTAACAGGCCTTTACTTCCCATTGAGGACAGAGCATTACTATTACTACCCGATAGCATAAAGTCTGCTTTCCTGAGTTTAACAGCACCATGAATTACAAACGTGTAGCTTTTCATGAAACCAGTGCTGAAGGTAAGAATTAGTGCATACGATTTAAAGGAAACTAGAGGTCCGCCAAGAAAAAAAGTAGGGGCACATGAGTCCACTCCACAGTGCTGGTGGGAGCTGGAGACAGGCCCCCTCAAGCCTCTCCTGCTGGGGGCCAGGCCTGCAGGCAGCCACCAAGCTGCACACCATCATCATCAAAGTGACCAACCCCAAGGAGGACAAGGGTTAATCACTGGGCATAGGTGAGAAAGAACTTGGCAAGTAAGAAAGAAAATGGCAGGAGAGTCAAGATGGCAGTGATGGCAACTCTCGGCAAAATGTGACTCAAGTAAGATGTCTTAGCACTGACTCCCCTAGCCAAGGAGGAAGATGTGAAAACCGCAGACACCAAAAATAGCCAACCATAACCCTGAACATGAAAAACAGAAAACACTTGACCCATGTGTCTCCTTGAGCAA